AGTAATGAATAATAATAAATGAAAGTTTTTTCTCCAACTTTTAGAATTTTCAGAAATTTTACATCTCAAATCTCAAATTTTGTGTAAACGTTGTATATAATACATAATAATAATAATTTCGCCATCTTCCTAAATTTAGGGAAATTTCACCCCTCAGGTCCCCAAATTTCACGCAAACACTGTACGAATAATGTACGACAATAACGAACGAAAGTTTTTCAAACGATTCAACTCTTGAAATGTGCAAGAGACGATACGTTACTCTGCAGCGCTTTAAATTTCTCTTGGAGAAGCAGACGCTCCACGTCTTTTTGCAAATTTTCGGAAGAGGAGTAACTTAAACGAGGACGAACATCCGAAAATTCTCCAATTCACAGACACTTCTCGGAGCTGAAGAGGAATTGTTGTAAAATGTTGCAGACTGACGCCGACGAACGTCGATACGGAATCGATACCGATGACACAGAGGCAGAGCGTACGAAACAGCCGTCGTTCTCATCGAGAGGACGGGCAAACGGAAGAGGAGTCTCGTACGATGAAACAGGTTTGTTGGATCTAGAGCTCCGTCGGGAGTTGCGGATACGTTTAAACCCCCGGATGTCCAATCCTACGTCGTCCTAAACTATCGACCTAACCGTAAAATATCTTTCATTTATTCTTAGAGAGGAAGAACTTTTATTACCGACTTTGTGTCTGCCTTTTATCGTTTAGTAACGTTGTCGATCATTTTGTTTGCATTGCTTCTGCCATTTTTTGGGGGGAATTTTATGGCGTTACTGTTCTCATTGAATTTTTTCGAGGATTTTCAGAGTTTCACTTGGAATTGAATTTTACAGCGTTACTGTTCTCCTATATTTAATGTTTTTAGGATTTTTAGAATTTCATTTGGAATTAAATTTTCCATCGTTACTGTTCTCTCTCCTTATTTAATTTTTTGGGGGACTTTTTTAGAATTTTGGGTCGTTACTGTGCTCCTTATTTAATTTTCTCGAGGATTTTTAGTTTCACTTGGAATTGAATTTTACAGCGTTACTGTTCTCCTATATTTAATGTTTTTAGGATTTTTAGAATTTCATTTGGAATTAAATTTTCCATCGTTACTGTTCTCTCTCCTTATTTAATTTTTTGGGGGACTTTTTTAGAATTTTGGGTCGTTACTGTGCTCCTTATTTCATTTTTTCGAGGATTTTTAGTTTCACTTGGAATTGAATTTTACAGCGTTACTGTTCTCCTATATTTAATTTTTTTAGGATTTTTAGAATTTCATTTGGAGGATTTTTCAGAATTCACATTATTACTGTCCTCCTTATTTAATTTCTTTTATTTATAGCCTTCTCTTTCAGCGTCCTGCATTTCTCAGATTGTCCTTCCCCTCGAGTCCTGTTTTCCACGATTTCCAATCTATAATGGGTTTCTAGTACCTATAATGGGTTCGAGATAAGAGTCCGACGGTTCGAATCTCCTTCGATTTTCGCGTAAAAAAATCACGACGTGTTCGGAAAGGCGGACGACGAATGCTGAAAGTCAGCCAAGATTTTTCTCGAACGACATTCTATCGAAAGTATAAAGAGAGTCAGAAGTCGCGAGGAGGCCAAGTGGAAACTCGTTCGGGTTCGAAAGTGTCCCCGGGTGTCGTTGGAATTCATAAAAGTCCCGATACACTCTTCTCCGTCTCACCTGGCTCGTCTTCTAGGAGACAGTTTGCCTAAGCAAACCGTCCACACAGTCCCATTCAGATGGTAATTATTGTGCATTTGAAAGACCGCTTTCGGGTAAATACGACCCGGCCGAGTTTCTCGTTTATGCTAATGACGCGTCGTTTCTCGCCTCGTTATTCTAATTCCACGCGATTTCTTCCCCTCTCGTACTAAGTACCAAATGCTCAACTATTTCGTTAACCTCTTCGGAGACGATTTCTTTTTCTTAAATTAGAAAAGAAACGAGGTACATCTAATTCATTTCAAATCGACAGCAATTGAATTGCTTTTATTTTTCTCGTACGAGATTAGATCTTTTCCGTTATGGGATTGTATGTTTTTAGATCTTTTTCGTTGGGAAATTATATATTTTTATAGTTGAGACTTTTCTTGCATGAGATTGCATATTTTCATGTTTTAGATTTTTTCGTTAAGGGATTACACATTTCTAGATTTTAGATCTTTTTCGTTAAGAGATTACATTACCGGCCAAATGTTTCGAATCACGATGCACTGCAAGTTGCACCAAAGTTGTTAAAAGAAAAGTTAGCATTCGTAATAATTTTTCAACGAATTTTTGATCATTCCGATCAATTGAAACGAGGTAAAGTCCTATTGATCTCCACAACACCAATTTCAAATGAATAAAGAATTAGTAGCGGGTTCAGTATTGATGTAAATTGGCAGGTGATCCCAAATTTTTGGCCGGTAGTGTATATATTCTTAGATTTTAGATTTTTTTTTATTAGGAGATTACGTATTTTCATATTTGTTCTATCACAAATATTAGAATTGTCAAATGAAAAGTGTGTCGGTGTCTTTGAAGAGGAATAAAGTTGTAATTTTTGATACAGTGTGAATAATTAAGGAGCAATTAAGTTTCCCGCGAGTAGAAGTTCGATTGGTACGCGTGTCAGAAGGGGGACGAATGTGTTTTGGTGATCGGAAACAGTCGACAAGTAGCGAGATATTGATAAAGTTTCCCTCCGTGGGTGGGGGGTAGTAGAATTCACCCACAGTAAAGCCTGCTTGTCGTAAAAGGCGACTAAAAGGGGCCGAATGTAGGGCAAACCTGTAACTTTTGAAAAAGGAGGGTTCGTTTCGAGTCGTAATTCAATTGACCAAGAGAAGAAGTGAAAGCTGAAGGAAGGATGAAAAAATGGACGAGAATTAACGGAGAGATTATTATCCCTTAAGATATCCGTCCCTTTCAGGATTCTTTAGAGCGTTGATTGATATCCTTGACGAAGTAACCTCACAACAATTGTCTTGATAACCCTCTTTCGAAATTTTTAACTTCATTTTTGCGGTCGATTAAGATTATTCGTTGTTCCTTTGCTAAATCAAACGTTAGACAAGAATTAGAACAGAAGTAGAAAAATTGGGCAAGGGGCAAAAATTAGGAAAGGGTTAAAAAATAGAATTGTATTAGAAATTGTCATTCAGAGTCATTGTCATTCATCATATGAAATTGGGAAAGGTGCATTTTTGCCTTTTAACTATTTTATTGAATCAAAATAATTTGCAAACTTGGCATTTGTGTGACATTTCTGTAATCGTTTGGTGATCATCAGTGGCCATCAGCTGTCGCAAAACTTCAGAGTTTAAGAAACGATTTGGCCTGTCACGTCTCCTTCATTTCCGAGATTTTCGAAGCAATTTCTGACGCTCCCTTCACAGATGCTTCTTTTCCCTAATCGATCGTTTATTCATCTTGCTGATTCAGTTGCGCTAAATTCACCTTTGAACTCATGATATATAATTGCCCCAAATTCGTATCTTCCAAGATTAAACTTCTTTCTGGAGACTGAAGAATCATTGTCTTTCGTCCTTTTTGCATCTTTACGAGGATTTCATATGCATCAACTTCTGTAGTAAGGTTTCTAGACGAAAAGTGTGAGAAGGGTTAAACAAAAGTGCGGAAAAGTTAAGGAAAAATTAGAAAGGGTTCATTCAAATTTAGAAAGGGTCAAAGAAAAGCGTGGAAGTGGTTAAAGGAAAATGTAGAAAGGGTTCATTCAAATTTAGAAAGGGTCAAAGAAAAACGTGGAAGTGGTTAAAGAAAAATGTAGAAAGGGTTAATTCAAATTTAGAAAGGGTTAATTCAAATTTAGAAAGGGTCACAGAAAAGCGTAGAAGGGGTTAAAGAAAAGCGTGGAAGTGGTTAAAGGAAAGTGTAGAAAGGGTTAATTCAAATTTAGAAAGAGTCAAAGAAAAGCGTAGAAGAGGTTAAAGAAAAATGTAGAAAGGGTTAATTCAAATTTAGAAAGGGTCACAGAAAAGCGTAGAAGGGGTTAAAGAAAAGCGTGGAAGTGGTTAAAGGAAAGTGTAGAAAGGGTTAATTCAAATTTAGAAAGAGTCAAAGAAAAGCGTAGAAGAGGTTAAAGACAAATGTAGAAAGGGTTAATTCAAATTTATAAAGGGTTAATTAAAATTTAGAAATGGTTAAAGAAAAGCGTAGAAGGTTTAAAGGAAAATGTAGAAAGGGTTAATTCAAATTTAGAAAGAGTCAAAGAAAAGCGTAGAAGAGATGAAAGAAAAATGTAGAAAGGGTTAATTCAAATTTAGAAATGGTTAAAGAAAAGCGTAGAAGGGTTAAAGAAAAGCGTAGAAGGGTTAAAGAAAAACGTAGAAAGGATTAAAGAGAAATGTAGAAAGGGTTAAGCAAGGGTGTGGAAATGGTTATATGCAAGTGCAGAAAGGGTTAAATAAAAGTTTAAAAGCGGTTAGAGGATAACGTAGAAAAGATTATGCAAGAGTGTTGAAAGGGTTTAGCAATGAGTGTAGAAAGGGTTAAACGCAAGTGCAGAAAGTGTTAAATAAAAGTTTAGAAAGGGTTAAAGAAAAATTTAGAAAAGGGTTAAAAAGTTTAGAAAGGGGCAAAGAAAAATATAGAAAATGTCAAACAAAGGTGCAGAAGGGGTTAACGAAAAATGCAGAAAGGGTTAAATAAAAATTCAGAAAGGGTTAAAAACGAAATCGGCGCGAAAATTGACGACCCGACCTGATCGATCGAGCTTCTCACAGATTGAACGGACAAAATTGTGTTGGTGGACAGGTGGTGAAGATGTTGGTAGCCGTGGTGGTTCTATTCGCCATTTGCTGGGGTCCGATCCTCGTGGACAACATGCTCACCGCGTACGGATTCCTGCCACGCGTAAAGGTCGGCACGTACAAACACCTTAATACCGCGTTTCAGCTGATGGCTTACTTTAACAGGTACGTCGACAGGAGCGTCGCTTTATCAGACTTCCTTCCTTCCTTGCCTCCTTTTGCATTCATTATACTCCCTCCCACACTCTCACTCGCTCTCTGAGAAGACAAACAGTCGCCCGCCCGCGCGCGCCAATTTTGGCATTTGCTCTCGTTGCACTCGAACAGCTTCCATCGTCTCTCGTTTAATTTCACCCAGTTTGCATCCTTCGTGACACGTACATCGATAAGCATTTCCCTCGTCCAACTTCTTCCCCCCTTTCTTTCCCTTACGAGCAGACGACGGATTAACCACTAAACGACGGATCTCCGGGGAGAAGTTTCGAGGTCATCGAGATACGCTTTTCTCTATTTTTGGTATTGAAAAATTTATGAATCATTCCGGAGAATCTTTTCCGCGGGTTTGGAAAACAGGACAGTTTTCGTTCTCCGTTTTGTGAAAGGAACCTTGGAATATCGAGGGAGTGTTATGTGTGAGAAGAGATCGGTCATTTTGGGAGGTATTCATTTAATTAGGAGGAATGCAGGGTAAGAAGGGTCGAGAGGTGATTTGTTTAAACGAAGTTGGGATTATAAATGAAAACCCCGGATGGAAAAGTGTTGAATTAATTTGCGACGAAGCGGTGCTATTTCCAATCGACCTCGGGAGATGCTACTCGTCGATTTCCATTTTACTTATCCCCATCAGTGGCTCATGTCGTTGGGGTAATAATCTGTCGTTGACATAATAATTCACCTGTAAAATTACCTCTCGCCCTCGTAAACGTAAACCAGTAGTCGAGAAATAATTCTGTGCTGTGTCCAATCGAAATCAACGAGCTACTCGAGTGCAACAGAAATTGGAAAAGTAAATCTTACCTTCTGTACTCTCGGAATTACCTGAAATTCCATAGTTTCTTCGATAAGAGACAAAAAAGAAGCTAACAGCTTTATTTCCAAAAAAAGAATCATCTCTCGCCATCTCAAGATAAACTAATAAATTCCAAAATTCTTCATTTATCCCCACAAAAAAAAAAAAGAATTACCCCAAATTCCACAGAATCCCATAGTTAACAATTCTCAAAGTCCACTCCACTGCTCTAGATACTGCCCAAAATTGCCTCTCAAGATGAACCAATTAATTCCAAAATTCTTCATTTACCCTCACAAAAGAATGTCACCGGTGTTCTCTCAGAATTACCTGAAATTCCAACGAATCCCAAAGCTAACAATTTTAACAATCACTCCACTGCTCTAGATTTTCCACAATAGGATTACCAAAAGATAAAAATAAAGTAATAAATTCCAAAATTCTTCATTTACCCTCACAAAAAGTCTCACCCGTGTTCTCTCAGAGTTACCTGAAATTCCATCGAACCCCAAAGTTAACAATTCTCAAAATCCACTGCACAGGGCAATTCCCCCCCAAATTCCCTCACGTTACCATAAAAACACTATTCACTTTCATTTCACCGACCTCCAACCGGACATTTGCCCCTTTTCACGACAATTCCATCGGAAACTCCTCTCGCAGAGCAGTCTACTTCCTTCCACGTCACGCGACCTCCAACCGGACATTTGCCCCTTTTCACGACAATTCCATCGGAAACTCCTCTCACAGAGCAGTCTACTTCCCTCCACATCACGCGACCTTGGCTCCCTTTACGAGCACGTTGTGTTTCAGCTGCATAAACCCGATCGTCTACGGATTTATGTCGAAGCACTTCAGGGAGAGTTTTCTGTCAGCTGCCTGCGGCGGCTGGTGGATCTGTTGCCCGCGAAAGGGTTACAGGGCGCCGGTGAAGAGGCACCCAAGCCTCAGCCAGACGAGAACGACAAGTGTCAGGTACGCAGCACCACCGCGAACGTACGCGACGCACGCACATTCCGCCGTTCTTTTCTTCGCCTCTTTCTTCTGCTACGCAACGTGACGGGGGAGAGAACAAACGACAGGTGTTTCCTGCCCGAAGAAATCACTCTTTTCCCATTTCAGATTCTTATGGATTAATATGTATCATACCCTGAGGTGGTAGAACGCTCGAAAATATACATACAAGTTTGTCCGTGTTTCGATGATCGCCAGGCTCAATCGAATGGTCTGCACTTTTCTGTCAAAATTTTAATCGAGGGGTTACGTCTACCTGGAAACGTGAAAAATAAGGACGCAGATTGGGCAAGTTTTTTTTTTTTTTTCTTTAGGGGGAATTATGGGTGACGATGCGAGTCGAAGTTTTATTCCACTGAAAAATTGTTTTTGATTGCTCTTCTTTTTTTTTGTTGAACAAATATTAGTAGATTCTTAATTTAACCCTTTTTAAGTTACCTTTATTCGTTTCTATTACCAGCTACTTAGTTTCTTATTAGAGAATTTTTTTTAAGGAGAAATTATGGGTGATAGAATGAACCGAATTTGTTTTCCACGGAAAAATTGCTTTTATCGAAGGAACATTAGTACATTCTTAGTTTAATTCATAATTTAACCCTTTTTAAGTTACCTTTATTCGTTTCTATTACCAGCTACTTAGTTTCTTATTAGAGAATTTTTTTTAAGGAGAAATTATGGGTGATAGAATGAACCGAATTTGTTTTCCACGGAAAAATTGCTTTTATCGAAGGAACATTAGTACATTCTTAGTTTAATTCATAATTTAACCCTTTTTAAGTTACCTTTATTCGTTTCTATTACCAGCTACTTAGTTTCTTATTAGAGAATTTTTTTTAAAGGGCAAATTATGGGTTACAGAGTGAATCGAATTTATCTTTCACAGAAAAATCGTTTGTAATTATTCTTTTTTTTTATTGAAGAAATATTAGTACATTCTTAATTTAACCCTTTGTAAGTTACTTTTATTCGTTTCTATTACCACTTAATTTCTTATTGGAGCATTATTTTTAAAGGGCAAATTATGGGTTACAGAGTGAATCGAATTTATCTTTCACAGAAAAATCGTTTGTAATTATTCTTTTTTTTTATTGAAGAAATATTAGTACATTCTTAATTTAACCCTTTGTAAGTTACTTTTATTCGTTTCTATTACCACTTAATTTCTTATTGGAGAATTATTTTTAAAGGGCAAATTATGGGTTACAGAGTGAATCGAATTTATCTTTCACAGAAAAATCGTTTGTAATTATTCTTTTTTTTAATTGACGAAATATTTGTATATTCTTAATTTAACCCTTTGTAAGTTACTTTTATTCGTTTCTATTACCACTTAATTTCTTATTGGAGAATTATTTTTAAAGGGCAAATTATGGGTTACAGAGTGAATCGAATTTTTCTTCCACGGAAAATTTTTTTTATTGAAGAAATATTACCTTAATTGTTAAAGAGTAACAAGTACGAAGGTAATTTAACTCTTTCCAACTCCGTATAATCTTGAGGTTTATTCATTTTTATTACAATTAAATTTCTTTTCGATAATTATCATATTTAATCATCTTATCATATTTCATATTATCACAATTATCAATTTTTCATCTCCTAGAAAATTAGAGACGAAGATGGAACAAATTTTCAAATTAACAAAAAGCACTTGACAATTTCTTACCCTTCTACTTTGTTACATTTTAATTTTCTCGATCACTCTAGATAGACATAACCCTTCCGATCGACTGCTGTCGATCACGAGAAATTCTTCCAACCGTATCGATTCTTTCTTCTCATTTCTCTCAAACCTTTGATTAATCGGACTTGTAAAACTATATCTACGACAAAGCTTGACATATATTTGACGCATCGCGCTTTTAGTAACCGCTTCGAAAGTGCTTTGAAAGCCTGGCGAGTCCTTGACGTTCGTAAATTTCCGCCCGAACAGCGCGTCGAGGTGCGTGGAAACTGTAAGAAGACTTTACGCGCGATTTACGAGCTTCTACGAATTCGAGAGATTAGAGGGACCCCGGGAAAACCGATCAGTTTCCTCCGTGTGGGGAAAAAATTGACGAACTTTCGCTTCTGGAATTACTTGTCGATGCGTTCCTGCTTCTCCTTCTGTCCTTCTTTATTTTTTACTCTCGCGTTGTAAACGCGATCGAATTTTTCTAATAAATAAACTGTGTGCCAAGTGTGATCGAATTTATTAGGTGTAAGAAAGAGTTGTTCCTCTGTTTTCTTTCGGGAAATTCTTTTCCACGATTTTTCCCAGTTTTCCAGCATGTGGATTTTTACCGCTGTGATGAAAAATTTCGAGTAGATTTCTTTCCTCAATTTGTCGTTTAAAACCCTTTCGCGATCGAATTATTTTCCCAGGAATTTCTCTTTTCTTTTTAACCCATTTGCTTCACAGCTCTGAAGACGTTCAGACAGTATTTCTTGTGTTTTTGTTTATTACTGATTTCACTCGGAAATTACGTGCAATAATTCAGAATTATTAAGAAACTTTTAAGCTTCGAAACCTTCTATACAATCCTCATGCGCGGATTATTCTGCTCTAGGATGCAAATGGGTTAAACGTCGGTCAATTTTGTTTTTACTACTCAAATCACGAGAAAGGGTTAAATTTGAAGAGCGCGCAGATATCTCGCTCTTTCCTACATCTAGTAACCTCCGCGATATATCCAGAGGAATTTCAATTAGTCGAACAATACTTGGCGTAAATTTTTCCAATTTACCTTCGAATTTAAATCTCGAATTTTCACGTCCTAAAGCATACAAATTTTCTCCCGTTCACGAGGAAAGAAACTGTTCTTACGGTAAACTCGCGCGCAGCAAATTTGTCAGGAGAGATTTTAAAGATGTGTTTTGAATGCGTGATCCAGGTGGATACGAAGCTCCTTCCGTGAGTCGAAGTATCGAAACTCGACCAACACTCATCTCGTAGCCTAGCTGTGATCATCTTTGAAAAAGTGAAAATAAAAAAAGAGAAAGACAGCTCGGCGAAACAGCGTTGTCCACGGGTGTCGCAATAAGCGCGACGAAACACTGGCTAGGAGCATGAATTTTCCTCTATAGGTAAACCGAACAGTTCAGTCAACAAAGTTCCCCGCGATTTCGCGTGCTTTTTCGACGCTTTGGCTTCGTGGTCGAGGGAAAGGGTTGAACGCGGAGTGGAAGGACGTCGGTTTTAATAGAGGAACTTCGATAATACCGGGTCTATCGATTTATTTCGACTACAAGCAGCGCAGGGTTCTGTTTTTCCACGTTAAAACGACCTTTTTCGACGCTTCGATGGACATTTTGTGTAGGAATTTTTAGCTAAATGTTTTACACGAAGAAACTTTGAAACTTTTGGTAAATGAATTGAATTTGATATCGAGTGATTAACGACAAAATTGTAGAATGTTCATTTTTGTGGATTGAAGCGGGTGTCCGTAGGAGACGATTATTGCGATCGATAGATATCTAACCCTTTGCACTCTTAGGCCCTTTTTTCTATAAGGAAGTAGCAAAAATTAATGTCGTTTTTTAAAACTGATATTTTTATTAGAAGTTGGTTCTGAGATCTCTAAACATGTAGTGAGCCATTCACGGAGGTCCATAGACCTGCCGTCTTGGAAAATATTGCAGTATCGGGGCCTGTATATCCAAAAATAGGAAACTGGGAGAATAGAAAAGTCTCGGCTTGGTAAACCGAAGGTCACGGGTTCGATTCCCGTTGGGTCCTCAATTTTTTTCCGTCGTCGGTCCAACATATGGGGGTTCGTCCGGGATGGAGGTATCTAGGCTGCACGAAGCCAGGCGCTGTGAGATGGAAATATGTGATGAGAGGGTTTACACGTTTCCGAAAACAGTTGAGAAAACAGTTTCGGCTGAGAGTGCCACTGTGGGATAGTGTCGATCACCGAAGTCAAGATGCACTGGGCGGCGTTCCGTAAGAAGATGGGTAACCGCTTCCACCACATCCGTCTCTGGAAGCCGTGCTGCTGGTTTTATTGGGCTGAAATTTCACACAGACGTTAGTTCCATCCTTACTAACGTCTAGAAATTGAAAAAGTCCAAGAGTAAAAATCCTTACCGCCAAGTTGGGGTTCAAGCACGGTCGGGGGCGTCCTCGCTCATTCTCCGGCTGGTTCTTCGGTTGGTGGTTTCGATGGAAAGTAGAAACCTGGTCTGAAAGGGGTGTATAAGCTGTAAAGCTGAGGCACCCTGAGTCCTTCTAAGGACGACCCACACTAGTTGTGTGGGGGAGTGTACCCGAAAGTGTTTGAGTTGAGTTGTGTTGCACTGAGGACATTCGAGGGCGAATGACAGTTCAGGATGGCCGAGTGTAGTATCGGGGTCTCCATCGGGGAAACCGGCACGAGAGAATACGGAGTGAGTTGGCGTAGCGCGCAGTCTCGGCTTTGGTAGGCCGAAGGTCCCAGGTCCGATTCCCTCCCGTTTGGGTCTGTCGTTGGTTCCTACGAGAGTTGCCTCTAATGGTAAATATAATGCCGCTTCTTAGTCGCCTCAAAGAGTGCAAGGGGTTAATATAGGAATTTTTAGTTGCATATTTTACACGAAGAAACTGTGAAGCTCTATTTGATATCGAGTGATTAACGATAAAATTGTCCAATTTTTTGCAAGATTTTTGTGGACTTTAATACGATTTGTTGGATTTTAACATTCTTTTATTTATGAACCGACGTCGTTCCGAACGTCTCGTGTAATAAATTCATCGATCTCATTCGGTAGATTCCTCCCTTCGCACACAGTGCTTTCGTTTTTATTTTCTCTACTTTTTTTTTTCGTTTAATCTGTCCTTTAAATTTTTGTTACAGCATGCGCTTGTTTCCAGCCGAGCGTCGCAGAAATTGGACACCACTTTGTCCCCTAGTTTTGATCGCGAAATTAACATAGTCCAGTGACCCGTGCAACGCGATTGGACGTAATCCAGTTCAGTTTAAAGCGAGAAGATTAACGTTCCGCTATTATCCCATCATCCCGAATACCGCGAATACCTAATTACCCATTGAACGAATTTCACCCTGTTTTTCCGTTTAAACCGAGGGCTCCGAGAAACTTTTCAAAGATATCCACTTTCCATGGGAATTTAGAAATTCTTCGGCGGAAGTTGTCCTTTCAGAGACTCGAACGTGTTCATTTTGCGAAAGGAAGGGTGCCAAATTCATTAGTTGAAGAGATTCTAAATTTCCTCGTCAAAGATAATATTGCCAACGATAGATCGTCCATTTTTCAGAGACTCAAGCATGTCCATTTCCAAAAGAATAAAATCCCAAATTTTTTCGCTGAAAGAAATTCGTTACTAACAACGATAGATCGTCCTTTTTTCAGAAACTCAAGCATGCCCCAAAATCCCAAATTCTTTCGTTAAATAAAATTCTAAAATACCTCTTCGAAGATAACACTAACAGCGATACTTTGTCCCTTTTTCAGACACTCAAACGTGTTCATTTCCAAACACAAACAATCCCAAATTCTCTCGCCAAAGAACTTGATCCACTAACTTCATTGGCACGAGAAAAATTTGATAAAAGGTCACAGGAGATTTTCCGAGCCCGAAATTTCACGAGCGACGAGCCATCCCCTCTAATGTTTGCCGCTTTGCACCCCGTTTGCTTACAGATGGACCTGATTTTTTCCCTGTGCCCGGCCTACGTCGAGGCAGCTCTTTCACAGGTAAAATCCAACCGCCCCATGGAAGTGAAGAACGCGAGACCACCGAAGAAGTAAAAGAAGAAGATGGCGCAGAAGTTTATTTCCTTTGGGGACGCGTGTGAAAATCGTAAAGGGGAGTTATCTCGCGAATATCTCCGCGAACTTTTCCATTGCTCAAGTGTGTACGAATCTCTGAAGGTTGCGAGCGGGACAATATCCATTTTACGCGTATATTCGAGGCTTTCAGGCGCGAGTTTAGAGGGTACAGGTTTGTGAAACAGGATCAGGCAACAGGTATTTTCTTCCGTCTCTGAGACGGTGATAAAATTGGAAATGTATCGTAGAATAAGGTTTTTTCGTACTGTAGGTATTTGGTAAATTTGTAAGGATAACTGATGTATTTAAGGCTCAGTAATAGGCTACTGTCTCCTGGCTAAACTCTCCTCGTTATGTTAATAACGGTAGATACATTTCTAAACGATATAATGCTTAGTAAAGTAAAAAAGAAATGTGGCTTCGCTTGCGTACGATGAAGATTTTAGCGTTGGGTCATATCTGACCCAGAATCCACTGTGCGCGGGACTGTCACGCATTTAGTACTGCACTCTCGATGCTCCCTCTCTGTAAGGGTACCTGTCCATCTTACAGCGTTTTACGATAGTTAATTTCGAGAGTACTGTAAAATTGTGTGCCCAGCTCTCTCGATATTGATTCTCGCGTTCGTTTTACTCTGATAATGGACACGTTACCCTAACTCTCGCTATTTCTCTATGACTCCTCTCATTCACCCTCTTTTATCCTTTCGCTCTACAAATGTTGCGGTGGAGGCACAAACACCTCGTTCACGCTCTCGCTTCAAACTCGCTTCACGAAACTTTCGCTCTAGGCTGCACATTCGCCCTGTTATACTCTTAAATACTTTCTTTCTTAGTCACAAACTAGTCACAAACTTTCACCATTACTCACGCTGAACTTCTACACAGCGATAGCCCAAAGTTCATCTTCCTCAAATCCTTAAATAACCCCATTTTTCCATCCTCGAGTCACTCTGTATTGTCATCCACACGTCATGCTCCGCCAGTTTCAGTAAAGCTTCTTTCCTAATTGCTCCGATTTAAGTGCTGCCCCAATACCTGCCCTCACGTTCGAGAAACCGAGGCAAAACCACCGGGCATCGCAGTACGAAAAATCCTATCACACGTCTGAACACCCGCTTGAACATTCACAATAATAATCTACCATTCCCTCAATACGAACCTTCATTTCCGACTAAATCGATTATTTTGTGAAACGAAGACTATTTCAGAGACACCCTGTATATTCAAAATAACAACCTACCATACCCACGATGCAAATTTTCCCTTCCAGATAACTCGATTATTCGGTAAAACCAAGATTTCACCAAAAAATGCTACTTTTTACCTCCTTTCGTATCACTGAGAGACACCCTGTATACACATGTATCTTAGTGCTCTGCAGAGCGTTTGCACGAGGGATTATGCAAATGTCGAGGCTCGTTCGCGAAAGCCTCGAACGATTCGGTTATTGGTTGATTTTCGGTTGCTTGTCTTCGTTTTGAGGAGGGATTTGTCGGGAAATTTCCCTACCGTACTGCGGTAATCCTTTCGCTGTTAGGTATAGCTGTTTGCAGACAACATGTTCGTGTTTGCGTGTGACGAGAAACGATCGAAAATTCGTTGCTTTTAATTACACTGTATAGTTAACATCGTACAGCGAAAGGATCCAAGGGGAAATTGTATTTGTAAGCAGGACAAATGATTTCGTCGACTGAAAAATTCATTTCCGATCGTTCATTTTAACGAAATGGAAGCTTGCAGGGTAAACACTTTCCAAGAAATCGTTCCTAGTTAAGAACTGGGTGGAAATTCAATTTTCCACACCCGCTCGATGTAATTTCATTGTACTATTGTAATTTAGCGTATATCCACGTATTTATTTGTACATATACACACATATATATGTAAGCATTACGATAATTAATATGAATAATTCATCAGTCACGCTTGAAATCGACCAATGCATTGATTACAAAAAAAGCAGCACACACACACACACAGGCGGACGCGCATAATTTGTACAGACAGTAACGCTGATCGCCGCTTGGATCGATAATTGTGTAACTCTCGAATTTTAAGCGTAATTTACTGTCGACCGAAAATCCAACGTCGATTTTCGACCAATGGGAAAAAGAATCGCTAAGCAACCGTAGAGTTAAATAGAATACGTGAAACAGTGTCCACGTATTGTTATTGGCCACGGTTGATCCGTAGATTATATACTATAAAAATAAAAAAATTGTATCATACGATAGTTTTTATCACACGTTTAAAGATAAACTCGTTAGTGTTAGTTTTTAACGGAAGAACAGAAGAAGAAGAAGAAGTTCGTGGAAATGCTTGTCGGAGAGAAGAGAATCTTAGATGATAACGATTTCAGCGTTTGTCATCGGCGTTTCGCGAAAGATGTAAGAAGAATAAATTGACGGATAGAAAGGAGGACATGTTTCTCGAGGTTCCCTCTGTACGTGACGACTTAATTAGTTAACTAATTAACGTAACAAACCACAGCGGAGCTTAATGACGCGCTGCTCGATCGACGAGCTTTACGTTCGTCATTAATTATCTATTCGTCGAGGCGTTGTGTAATCACGAGTGTGTGTGTCTCATTGTTTGAGGAGAGATGTGTGGTATAATGAGCGCGATTACGCGTGCACGTTCGTTTAGGATTCGCGACACCGTACGTCGCGACGCGATTTTTTCACTGCTTCTTTTTTTATCTCGACGAGAGTGAGAGAGAGAAAGAGTAATTCGAAAAGCGAAGTCGCAAGAAGCAGCGTGTACAACGAGCCGCGATTTTGAATAACGTTTCTTTGGACGTTTATTTCTACAGTGCGAGTTCCAGTCGGTATTGTATCGATTTTTTACGTCTGCATGTACATATATTCGAATAAACTCTCGAAGGCACAACGAGCGTGATTTTCATTGCGAAGATAAGATGGATGTGAAGAAGAAGGTGGGACGTTTTATTCGACACCTTTTTTTTTTTTTATGCGAGTGGAGCAGGCGAAGATGTAATTGGAAAGGAATGTAATTGAGAGGAATTGGAAAAGTGGGAGAAATTGGAACCCTGAATTTCCTGTAATTTTCCTGGAAATCCTGTTCACCTTTGCTAAGAAATTCCGCTGGAAAATATGGAGGAAATTAAAGATTGAAGAGTGAAAAATTTGGAACCTTAAAGTTCCCTGAAAATCCTGTTCATCTTTGCCAAGAAATTCCTCTGGAAAATGCGAAGAAAATTAAAGATTGAAGAATGGAAAATTTGGAACCCTGAATTTCCCACAATTTTCCTGAAGATCCTGTTCACATTCACCTAAAAATTCCTCTAGTAAATACGAAGGAAATTAAAGATTGGAAAATGGAAAATTTGGAACCCTGAATTTCCCAAAATTTTCCTGAAGATCCTGTTCACCTTTGCCAAGAAATTCCCCTGGAAAATGCGAAGAAAATTAAAGATTGAAGAATGGAAAATTTGGAACCCTGAATTTCCCAAAATTTTCCTGAAGATCCTGTTCACATTCACCTAAAAATTCCTCTAGTAAATACGAAGGAAATTAAAGATTGAAGAATGGAAAATTTGGAACCTTAAATTTCCCAAAATTTTCCTGAAGATCCTGTTCACCTTTGCCAAGAAATTCCCCTGGAAAATGTGAAGAAAATTAAAGATTGAAGAATGGAAAATTTGGAACCCTGAATTTCCCAAAATTTTCCTGAAGATCCTGTTCACCTTTGCCAAGAAATTCCCCTGGAAAATGTGAAGAAAATTAAAGATTGAAGAATGGAAAATTTGGAACCCTGAATTTCCCAAAATTTTCCGGAAAATCCTGTTCACCTTTGCCAAGAAATTCCCCTGGAAAATGCGAAGAAAATTAAAGATTGAAGAATGGAAAATTTGGAACCCTGAATTTCCCAAAATTTTCCGGAAAATCCCGTTCACCTTTGCCAAGAAATTCCCCTGGAAAATGCGAAGAAAATTAAAGATTGAAGAATGGAAAATTTGGAACCTTAAATTTCCCAAAATTTTCCGGAAAATCCCGTTCACCTTTGCCAAGAAATTCCCCTGGAAAATGCGAAGAAAATTAAAGATTGAAGAATGGAAAATTTGGAACCCTGAATTTCCCAAAATTTTCCCTAATTCCCCCACAATTAAAAAAAAAGGAAAAAGAGACTATAGAATTTTAAACACAATTCCCGACACGAGTTTGTCCCAAATTTCTGATCAAGCTGCAAGCCATATCGTGTAAGTGAATATTTAAAATTTAATCAAACCACAATTTCTCTGGTCTGCCGTCGAAAACGAATTATCAACACACGTACGCGAGGAAAGAATCGCGTGGAAAAATGGCGTGGAGAAATTCCGGAAATAATTGCCAGACGGGGGTGGAATCGAGTTGAATAACAAACGCGCCCGAGGGGAAATTTTCAAATGATCCGGGCCACCTTAATGAAATCCACGCGTGTTCCAGCCAGAACAGGCAACTTTCTATTTCCCGGTGCATATCATCACCAAGTCCTGCACCGTCGACCTGCCCAGCGTCAATTTCACCACCGCCACGTGCCGGTAATTCGACTTTTTCACCTCGGCCACTTTTTTCACCGTTCCACCTTTCCTCCCTTTCCTCGATGCCGTTTCTGCTGTACCTTTCGACTGGGAAACGGTCTCCTCGAGGAGTGAGTGAAATTGCACACCGAATTCCACCTGCAACGAAAGAAAATGAAGCTCTGACAGCGTTGTTCCTTGCTTTTTTATATTCCACCCTACGAGGGCGAATTTTATCGAACAGATACTCGAGGTCAAAATGTTCGAAAGTTACTAGAAATTAACATTTTTGTTTTTTATTTGAAAGTTAGAAAAAATTGTTACTTTTGGTCTCTGTAGCTTTGTAAAAATAACGAAGAGAAACCAAGTCGAATTTTTATGGTAATTTAAGTAAACTTTCGTAAATTTTATATTATCCGGAGGAAAATATTGGTAAATATGTATCGAGGATCTTTAATTAGCGTATAAAGATTGACTCGATCGACTGCAGAAAAAGAACGTTTATCGATAGAAATGAAATACAAGAAAATAGGCGAAAACCCGAGTGAAAAACAGTTACTCAGTTCGGGGTTGTCGCACGACTACTTAAAGTGCGGAAAAACATTTGTTATATACTCGGCATCGCCCCACGGTCAGCGGGCCCATGGCTTTTATGGGCCTACGTTAAGCAGAGAAACCCGCAGTAGGAGAGAAAATTCAAAATATAATCTATTCTCCATAATATGTTTGCGAAATGAGGAAATATTAGGCTTCTGCGTGCAGATATTTCATTTTCACTGTAGACAGGACACTTCGTCCAACGAAAAATACCTTCTTCCTTTCCGGAACCAGTAGCTGCATATTTTCATCGAGATTCGAAAAGGAGAACCTACTACGATCCATAGATCGTCGAAGAACTCCACCGAAAATAGCCAATTCCTCGTTAGGTCGAAGAGTATCGCTGTATTCCACTTTCCTCCCTGATTTTCCTCCACTTTCACCCTCGCTTCTCTCCTTCTTCTTCTTAACAATTTCCTCCCGAAGTTCCTCCGATTCTTGCGGAATTTCGCCCTCGAACACGTCGATCAGGAAAAGTCGAAAGATCAGTGGACAAACGCCGGTATTTTGTATCTGAAACAATTAAAAGGAAAAAAAGTAGAGAATACATTGAAGGATCCTCTTAGCGGTAGATCATAAATTATTCAGCGGTGAAAAGTTTGCTCGGAACCTCGAAGATTAAGGAAACTTTCGATTCCCTTGGCTGGCGAATAATTTATTCTCTTTCTCCAGAGAGAATCGTTCGAGTGGAAAGCATGCAAGCCGGGGGAGAGCTCGGAGCTCATCGCTGGAACGTATTAGTCGGTGAATTTCGTCATTTGTCGAAATTGAAATTCGAGGGGTGAAAAGTTGGCTGGTCACGTGCGCGGTTAAATTCCTCGTGTGTTTCTGCCAATTTCTTGTCGAACTGTTTTGGAATTCAGAAACACGGAGGGAAAAGAGAAAAAGTGGGAGAAATTGAATGGACAAAGGCGCGTAGGAAAAGCGTTAGGTTTCGAAGGATCGAGGATAATAAAGGTGCGTCGATGAAATTTAACGAAGGGCGATATCGACCGGGAGCTGGAATTCGTCTGGTGAGCTGGAATAATCAGGTTCACGTTTGCTGTGCATACTAACAAAACCTGATTGAGATTCTCGCGTACAGTGCACATGTTCTGTGTAGCGATACAGAGAGGGAGGTTTAACGAATTTCTAGGATGCTCCCCTAACGTTGCACCGGGAGCAACAATTTTCCTAATCCATCGCTAAGACACTTTCCTGCGAATAGAAATTTTTCCTGTTCTTTGATGATCTCCCTCAGCGACTCTCGGTCTGTTTTATCCTTTCGTTCACTCATTCTCTCTTTCTCTAGTTCTTTCACTCTCCGCGGACATTCTCGAAACACACTTTCGGTCACGTTCACCCAAATTTTTGGGTAGACACGCACTCTTCTTTCACACTTGGACCGAAATATCGCTTGGACCACAGCTATCGTTTTAACCCTTTGAGCGCTGGATACTCCCTGCCAAAGCTCTCTAGCGATTACAGTCTCTCTTTTACGTAACTCCGCTACGCGGGAAACGGAAGAAATTGCGCCCATAGTCCACACCGGAAGCCTTCGCCGGCCATGCTGCATCCATAGTACCGTGGGATCAATTCGTTAGGAAAAAGTACACTCTGTCGCATAGCTACCTTCAACTGCCTTCTTGTCTACGCTTCGCTTTTCGACTCACGCGTGTCGGACCCGATCGCCGGCGGACAGTCACCGCAGTACTCAAAGGGTTAACTAAACATTCACACGCGATACAATCTTCATTCCCACCTCTGTCTCTCCTCTATTCATTTTCTCTCGTTCTTACATTCCTACAACGACAATCATTTATGAACACGGTCCCATTTACAGAGATCAGAGAAGAATAAAAATGAAGTTGCATCGATTGGTTCTCCCTCCCTCTGCTCCCAGAAATTTATTCACCGAATGCACCCTCGATTTGCAATTTTCATTATCCACGATAGAACGTCCTCGTGGGCGACGTTCCACCATGGTAATTCAAGTTTGTTCTTCGACATACCTCGTACGTAGGAACCCTTTGAACACTCCGCTCTCGGGGATCCTTAAGCGTCGACACTTTATTTGCAAGTGCACGACACGCGTGGTGAAACCGCGGCCGGAAATTGTTTCACTCGTGTGGCCACTTTGAGATTGCAAAGTGCCGGAAGCCGAAGAGATTCAGCGTTTCGGAAAATGGCAGACGCGCAGGAAACCGAATTGGTTGGAATGTTCCTTGGGAAGAACGACCGGAGGAAATTCAAGTAGGTTGTTATTTAGAGCTGTTTCGAGGTTTGCAGCAGGGTAGGTGAATCTCGTTTTAATCCTTTGTTTCCTGCTGGATTTGTGGATTTTTCGCAGTGGGAGTTAATGCGAAGGTTAGAAAGGGTTAATCAGTGTAGTCGGTTTTAATTAGGAAATGGAGATGGAGCTTGAAAGGGGAGCGTTCTGTGGATTTGTAAGGGTGGAGGAGGAATTGCTGTTTCTGAAAGTTTCACAGTTGGACGAGGTCGATGAAATTCGTTCTCTGACATGCTTCGGCAATTAACTTCGTTGTCCATTGTAAGACTTTCTTGGGAATGGAGTTTGAGGTGAATTGTAGGAGCGTTTGAACTCTGGGTAGCCTGATTTTTCTTCGTTCGCGAGAGGAAGAACTGCGGTTGACTATAATTTTACAGTTTGATTGGAGATGGGAGGACAAATACGAGAAAATAATTATTCAAAAATTGGATGGTAAGGCAACAGTATG